GGGGAGCTGGCCAAGCACGCCGTGTCCGAGGGCACCAAGGCCGTCACCAAGTACACCAGCTCCAAGTGAGCCCGCCTGCAGCCGACCGCAACCCAAAGGCTCTTTTCAGAGCCATCCACCCTTTCTATAAAAAGAGCTTGTTCGCTGTTTAACTTTGGTAAAAAGTAGAAGTGAACATTAATTTTTTCTACATAAGTAGTATGTAAACTAGTGTTCTAGGTAATTGCTTTTGGGATTTGCCTCGTGCCTATTTCAGCGTTTAGTTTGCAGTTGCTTTTTAGTATATTTCGTCTAGTAAGACACTAATGCAAATAACACCTCGCATCTCTGGAAGTCCTGTGGAGACCCTCTCCTAATAGTTCCTGGCTCCTTCAGCTTTATTTGGGTAGGCCTCACTAAATGGCCTCTAGAGTTAAAGGATTAAGCAGGATCTTGGAGTGGTAGGTCTCAGTGGATGATACCAGAACTAATCATCTAGTATGTCTGGTTCTTGCTCCCCAGGCTGAAGTAGGGCCACAGCCTCCATCTTTTAAAGCTGTATTTGGGAGGTAATGTGTTAGGACAGTAGTGCTGACTGGAAACTTGGTGACTTGGTGTCACCAGGCAGTATAATGTAGATCGTGTTCCGCTTTTTACTTTCTCAACTAGTTAACTCCCTCAGGTCACCCCTGCAGGTATCCACACCATGGTCCCTTGGCCCACCATCTCCCATTAAAATTCCAAGCATTGTTAAAGGCCTATTAGCGGTGTAACCGGTATGGTTTGCAAAATAAACCTGAGTTCTTTCTCGTGGAGCTGAGTGAAGAGCTGGAAATGTTTCTTCTCCACCTCTTCAATTCTCTAAAATAATATTCCCACTAATGCAGCATGTCTTTTCATTTCTGTTGGCAGGGAAGTCTGGTGCCTCTGATGACAGGGGAAACCATATTAAAGGCATGCCTGGTTTGGGTGCTGTGTTGGACCAGCAGCAGTAAATCCAGGAAGATCTACCGTTAGCACCTTTGCTCAAGAGTAAGGACCTGCAGAGTGCATTGCAAGAACAAAACATGTGTGGCCAGGTTACCTCCTCAGGCTAACTTTGAGATTTGCTTACTCAAAGCAGCCACCATTTTTCACTCTCACATTTATCCCGCACACTGGTCTCGGGTACCTCATAGGCACTAAGAAATGTACCTGCAATGGGAAAGTCCCAGCTTCTTCCAAAGAAACAGTTAAGAAAATACGGACTCTAAAACAAAACTGGGAAGCTAGCAAAATGGAGTCTGCTGAACGGGGCAGGTGGTGTAGCGGGGAGGGGAGGCGTGCTCCAGGTCGAGTACCCGGGACCTAGAAATCCTCTAGCATGGCTGGAGGCTGGGATGGCCAGAGATGAATGTGGAAAGATAAGTAGAAGGTGGGGCAGTGAACCTTACGATACTGAGGAGCTTTGTACACCTTGAAAAGAAATATAAAGTTTATCTACTAGAGGAAGGCAGACTCTGCAGAATTTTAAAATCTTGTAAAATGTATGATTCAGATTCATTATTCTGGTGGCCCAGTTGAGAACGAATGGAAAGGGGGGTGAGATCCAGGTGAAAAGTTTGGAAATACCAGCCAGGAGTGAGGTTCTGAACTAAGGAGGAGGCAGGAAGAGGAGGAGGAGGGGGAGAAAGGGGGTTAAGGGGGAAAAGGAAGCAGAACGGTGAGGCCTTGCTGCAGACTGACGGTGAAGGAGGACAGGTTGGAATGTCTTGCTTTCAGCTTGTGCAACATCACTACTCAAGAAAGGGTTTCAGAAAGTGGGCTTGGGAGGAAAGCAGACTTGCCATGTTCATTCTGACTCGATGCCCCAAAGCACCTAGGCATATATTGAATATCTAAAGCTTAAAGAGTTTGAGAAAACTGCAGAAGCAGAAAGGTCCCTTGGACCCGCCCCTCCCCCCACTCCCTGCTCCGCCCTTCCCTGAAAGCAGGAGATAAACCTCCCCTGGGACAGGCACCCACCCTGCACCCTGAGGGAAGGAGGCCTGCTTATCACCAGAAGGAATTTGGGGCTGAAAGGCCACAAGAAAAAAACCTTATTTCTTCAACTTACTACCCCAAGCCCAAACCTCGTTGTCTTGTCAATTCTTCACAAATTTACCTCTTCTAAAAATATGAAATCTCCCTGACTAGTTGCTTCGGGACTTCCTTCTCTTGTGAGGGCTGCCATGTAACATATAAAAATTCAACAAAACGTGTATACTTTTTTCCAGTCAGTTTAATTCCTAGGCAGAAATCCAAAGAGGACAGAGAATTTTTCATTCCCCTACCTTTCATTTAACAAATACTCATTACCCCACTGCCGTGAGCCAGGCACTACTTTAACGTAACATTATGACAGTGAAGGGGTTCAGAACAAGTCTCCCCCAGGTGCCATGGACACATGGACTATTTTGAACTAAAGTCAACTGAGAATACCACGGGTAAAGAGAAACTTTTGCCCTCCCCCTAAATGCCTTAAAGAATTTAAGTACGGGGTTGATAACAGAGAGAGAGAGAGAGAGAGCTATTATCAGACATAACTTTTTTAATGTGAAAGACTCAGCTTGGCGGGGCAGACATGTGATTATGAAACTCTAATCTTATCTGCTGTGGATTGTCCTCCCCTCCGTAGCCCCAGGCCCTTCTCCCATTCCTTAGCTGGGGATGTCATAGAAGCCTTAATTGCTTGACTGCCTTTAAGTCTTATTTTTTACAGGGCTTCTGTACTTTTGAAATTGAATGTTTTTGTCCTGTTAATCTGTTTTATGTCATCTTAATTAGTAGATCAGCCAAAGAACCTAGAAGGAAATAAGGGGAAAATGTCCAGCTCCTACAATATACAAAGATGAAGAACTCACTCTTTTAAAGATGTCTGTTTTTCTGCCCCAGTTAATCAGTGCGATGCAGTTATGATAAAAATTCCAAGAGGGTTCCTTTTTCCTTTAAACCTGAAACAAGTTACAGTATTTTGAAGGGGAGCAGAATATACCATCTCAAAATATGCCTCTTTGAGTATGTATGATAAACTTACATGCACAACAGTTATTGCTGAATGTGGTAAGAATTTTGTGGAAAATGTAGTAATATTAATCAAATACCACAACATCCACATCCTCTCTGACAAAGCATTTCAATTCTAGGTTATCCTCAAGAAATAAATTATGTACAGATCTCCTTTAAAATAGAAAAAAATAGAAAGCACATTATGTTAAATACTAGAGACTTTACTTAAAATGTATCATAGAAAATGCTTGTGATGGAGTATTACACAGACATAAATAATCCCTTTTTTCACTTTCCCTAGTGTAAGTTTTCCAAAGATTCAACTGAAAATAGATTTCCTTTGGCAAAGGAAATTGACTAAACTATAGAACAGAATAGAATTTTTAGTAATGGTTCTGTCAGAGAGCAGGAGGCCCTTCTAGCCTCCAAACTGACGTGAGACAGATTAGCAGGAAAATACCACGTTGACATAAGACAGATTAATAAGAAAATATAAACTATAATGGTATACATACCGGGAATCCATACAGACATGAAATTTCAAAGACAGTCAAGTAAAATGAAGTATATATGTCTTTCTGAACTAAGGAGAAGGGGATGGGAGTCTGGAACTTCAAAAGGGGAGGAATGTAATTCACAGGAAGAGTAAATGCCTGGTAAATAAAATGTTTCTGGGCCACTCAGAAACAATGGAACATAAAGGGCTTTGATCAAACCGGCCTTGCTCCCCCCCCATCATCTGTACCTAGCGCATAGTATAAAACAGTTCTCTGCTGTGATAACTCTCTTCCTGGAGCAGGTCCTCTATCTAATTTCCTTTTAGGCAGTTGTGGAGGAGGTAAAAAGCTTTTCCAAAATTTGCTGGATTTTAATAATCTTCACGTCAAAGGGAGCCATCGTAGGGTGGCCCCTACAGTTCCAAGTATAGTGTTAAAAGTGGTACATCAATCAGTAGGGAAAACAATTATTTTAAACATGTGGCTTATTAAGGAATTGCCAGGGAATTGGTTAAAGTGTGCTATAGAGAATTCTTAAGAAGGAGTAACAAGTAGATATTAAAAACAACTTTTTTTTTGTCTTTAGAAAAGGGAAATTAAAATGTAATCAGTGTAAAGAAGTTCCAAAACGTCATACACGGCACTGTGAATTTTCTTTGAAAAAATATGTGCACCTATCTATTCACCAAAGTCCCAAACTAGGCAGCAGGACTAAGTGTTCCCTGTGTGCTGGGATAAAAGGTTGTTATCTTATTACTTCCCTTTTTTGTATTTCTCACAACGTTCGCGCTTGGCGTTCGCATTGGAAAGCAATTTTTAAAGTTTTCAAACAGAGTAACAAAATGGTTACGAGGTACAAACAAAACATAGTACAGGAAACCGAAGACTTGTTTTTTTTTTTTTGTCTCGTCACATTCCCTCCCCCCACGGGGTGGCCCTTCCCGTCTGTCTGAGGTTCTCAGTTCGGTCCGCAGCAGCGGGATAAAGGCCGCAGCACGGGGGACGGGACCCGACGTTGTGCGGTCTCCGCTCTCGGCATGTCCGGCCGCGGCAAGGGCGGGAAGGGCCTGGGCAAGGGCGGCGCCAAGCGCCACCGCAAGGTGCTGCGCGACAACATCCAGGGCATCACCAAGCCCGCCATCCGGCGGCTGGCCCGGCGCGGCGGCGTCAAGCGCATCTCCGGCCTCATCTACGAGGAGACCCGCGGGGTGCTCAAGGTGTTCCTGGAGAACGTGATCCGGGACGCGGTCACCTACACGGAGCACGCCAAGCGCAAGACGGTCACGGCCATGGACGTGGTCTACGCGCTCAAGCGCCAGGGCCGCACCCTCTACGGCTTCGGGGGCTGAGCCTCACCCAAGCCGTCACAAGCCAGCGAACAAATGGCCCTTTTCAGGGCTCCCCCCACTTTCACCCGAGGAGCCGTGACACTGGCTTGTTGGCGGTCGCTGGTCCGCGTGGCCAGGGTTCGCTGCGGGTCACCGTCACCCGCCCAGGCCGCTAGTCCTGCCAACCAACCCTGAGCCTAGGCGTCTTCCCCTAAGTTGGTTTGGTATCTTAGGATGCTGCGGAACTTCCTCCAGGAGGTATGTCCTGTGACAGCTTTTAGGGCTTGTTGGCTCCGCACAGCTTCCTTTCCAAGACTTTGCTGTTCTGTGGACACACTGGGAAAACCCTTTTACCTCTGGTAAAATCCTGGCAAATGTCCTAGTGGAGAGTCGGCTTGAGAGTTGGAAAAGTGTTCAGACCAAAACTCAGAAACTTGTGTTCTGTCAGGAAAGTGGCAGTTTTTAAGTCTGATTATAGTCGACCTCAGCTTGTAAATGCAACCTGGCTTGTCAACTCAGAAGGTCACTTATTAGCCTGGAGGGACAATTAATGGCCTATTGCTGGTCTCCATCACTTACCACAAAGAGTAGAGAACTTTTTTTTATTCTTATGTTAATCCCCATACATTACATCATTAGTTTTAGATGTAGTGTTCCATGATTCACTGTTTGTGCATAACACCCAGTGCTCCATGCAGAATGTGCCCTCCTCAATACCCACCACCAGGCTAACCCATCCTCCCACCCCCCTCCCCTCTAGAACCCTCAGTTTGTTTTTCAGAGTCCATCGTAAGAGTAGAGAACTTTTAAAGTTCATAAAGGTATTCTTGTTTGTCTTGTAAGGATGGTGATCATAATTGGCACTCCTTCAGCCTTTATGATGGAGAAACGATGTATGCGTCATTGGTGATTGCAAGTAAAAAGTAACAGTTAATGTAACATTAAGATTAAGCAAATGCAAGTATGTCCCATTCAATTTAAAAAGTATAATTGTTAAGCATATTAAAACATTTTATCTGGTTAACAAGCATGTATAGTTTTTTTATTTGCTCTTTTTCCTATTGCATGATATATAACAAAACAGTTCTCACAATTTTATGTGGTTAATCACAAATACAAACTATGTCTCTTCTCATGAAATGAGAAACTATGTGTGGCCCAGTGGCCACTTGGGAAACTACAGGAGTTTAGATACAAGTAATACCTTAAAGGTTTCATTATTCAAAATTTAGGGCCTGGATTTAGGAAAAGTATTATCAAGAAGTTTTGAAAGTTTCATTAAATCAGGCTATGAACATAAGTCAGATATCTAAAGACAAGTACTAGAATATTAGCTATAAAAATAGCATTGAAATAATATATAGAATACTTAGGGATTTTTTTTTTTTTTTGGTTTTTAAGAACTGAGAGACTTTTATCAAACTCATTCAAGAAATTAATGGAAAGCAGGGTGCCTGGGTGACTCAGTTAAGCGTCTGCCTTCGGCTAAGGTCATGACCACAGAGTCCTGGGATCGAGCCCCACATCGGGCTCCCTGCTCAGTGGGGGAAGCCTGCTTGTCCCTCTCCCTCTGCCTGCTGCTCCCCCAGCTTGTTCTATCTCTCTCACTGTCAAATGAATAAATAAAATCTTTTTTTAAAATTTTATTTATTTATTTGAGAGAGAGAGAATGAGAGAGAGCACATGAGAGGGGGGAGGGTCAGAGGGAGAAACAGACTCTCCGCTGAGCAGGGAGCCCGATGCAGGACTCGATCCAGGGACTCCAGGATCATGACCTGATCTGAAGGCAGTCGCTTAACCAACTGAGCCACCCAGGCACCCATGCATAAATAAAATCTTAAAAAAAGAAAGGAAGTAATGGAAATCCACAAATACATAACTGACCCTCAGAAGGTGTTGGGGGGATAACCCAGGAAACCGC